CCACAGTCCGAACACGCTCGGACGGTGACTCGTGCCACCGCTGCTACGTCTACATCTCCTGGATCACAGTCCAAACGCGCTCGGACGACGACTCGTGCGGGCGCTGATAGGTCAGCGTCTACGTCTCCTGGGCCACAATCCAAACGCGCTAGGACGGCAACTCGCGCAGGCGTCGATAGGTCTCCATCAAGGTCGCCTGGTCCACAGTCCGAACGCGCTCGGACGGCGGGTCGTGCAACCGCTGCTACGTCTACACCTCCTGGGCCACAGTTCAAACACACTCGGGCGGCGACTCGTGCAGGCGCTAATAGGTCCACGTCTACGTATCCTGGACCGCCGTCCAAACAGGCCCGGACGGCGGCTCGTACAACCGCTGCTACGTCTACGTCTACGTCTCTTGAACCTCAGTCCAAACGCGCCAAGGCGGCGGCTCGTGGAGGCGCTGCTGTGGTCGCTCAGCCCGCGGCGGCCGTGGCGACTTCCAATAGAGGTCAATTCAACTTCGAGCAAGCGAGCATCAAGGACGTTGTAGCCTATCTCGGTTCACTGGCGGGCCATGCACAGGAGCGCAACGTCGTCATCACCGCTCTCAACGCACTGCGTCCGGTGAGCGACGACGCGCAATGGCAGGCGGTTCTCCGCCGCTGGGCTCATCTGGAAGTACTGCTCGACTTCCCACATAAGAACGTGAGCAATTCATGTTAGCATACGCGGCAATTACTCATTTCGTGCAGGATCGAACGAACAGATTATCGTCCAAGTTTAAACCGCCTCAAATTCTCTGGTGGACCTCCCGGCACAGGCACTACGGCAGTCCCCCCGCGATCGATGTCGCCACTTTCGGCGCTGAATTGCGCAAGTGGTACACGACTCTCATGCCCAAATGGCGGCACGTAGCGTATGATTGGCCCCTCTCCAGAGAGTGCGATTCCGATATGCCCGAAGATACTTGGGCGGAGGTGCGCAAGGCCGGTCAGAACGGCATTGGCATCATCGTCATCGCGCTCTCCTGGTGGATCAAGTCCGCCAATACACCTGCGCGTAGACGCGAAGCGATGTCTATGGTTGAGGATCTGGCGTTCGTTTTGGGAAAGCTTACTGCCAGTCCGTAAGGAAATGAAGGCCGGTTTCTTGAGTTAAGACTGCATTCTGTGTCTGGAAGTATGTGCATGTATCTGTTGCTCATGTATTCTACAACGTCCACCAACTACCTATACCACGTTTTTGTAGCTGGTGTATACTATGGGTGCTCGAGCATGTACGTCCGCATACGGACACAGGATGCTTTTCCGACAGAATTCTTCGATCCGACCTTTGTCTGTACCCACGACATGATATCGAAAGTCAATGCGCGTCGAATATCGTCTCCGTGTTCTTGGACTGACAATAGACATCGTTGATAATTATTCATGGTTATTCAATGGGCACAGTGCGACACTATTCGCCATTTGTCGATCACTGAGACTCTAGAAGCAACTAAGAATGTCACGATGTCAGTAGTGCTCCGAGAATGTGGCTCTGCCCAAGAAGGCAACCTGGGTACAGCAGTACATGGCCGTAAACGACCTGTGATCTCGAATGAAGGAACCTGAAAACCCTTTTTTGGAAGTGTAAAAAATTGTACTTTCCGATCATGATTGGAATCCCATATCTACATTTGGCACCATCTAGTTAGTCCTGTGGACAGATAGTGGGAAAAGTTATCACATGAGGATATATGAACTATCGGTCCTGGGCAAGCCCATAACTATCAACTATCGTAGTGTCCACAGCTCACGTTAACGTAGTGAATGAACTACAATGTACTCTACTGTACTCAATTACACCAATATCGCAGCCGCATTGTCTCTGGAATACGCATACTTCAACGCGCACAGCGCATATGCTCCCTCGACGCTCGCACGTCCCGCTCAGCGACGCAGCCTCTTACGTTGATTCTGCCCCTCTCCCGTATCTATCGGCGCCACCGTACGCTTAGCACGACTGGTCTCGGCTGCCGTCGCAGCAGTTGAAGCAGCCGAACCGGCGGTATGTTTCCCTCGTGAAACGAGGATCACCTTGAAGGCGGCTGCCATATCATCAGCAACCGACTGCCAAAGCGCCAGATCCTCGGATGTCCACGCCCAATGCATCATGCACCACGCCAGTAGGAACACCCCTTTGTAGCCCTGTGAGCTCGCCAAAGCACCCCATGCCATATCTGGCTGAGGCGGGAGCAGCTCACCGATCGTTACCGCCCTCCCGCGCTCTGCTGGCTGCAACGCCAACCACCACGTCGCCATCTGGCGACCCCAACCCTTAGGCAACGGTGTGGAGAACACCCCGCCACGCTTCTTCGTCATGGACGTTACCTCTTTGGGACGCCCAGTCGAACTGAGATGACCACCGGCGCCCACGTCCTATGCACCAATCAATATCGAGCACGGAACTCCCAAACGCGAGCGTACGCACCCATGTCTTGTCCTGACGAAGCAGTTCCTCCATCGAATCAACCAACTCAGCGTGCGATAGGTGCATGTTCACCGGCAAATCTCGCATCGCCTCCGCCAGCCTTGTCCGCCTCGCCTTTCCATCGGCACCGTTCGTACTGATATATGCGTTCCACGCCGCGCCGAATTCATCCTTCCCGCCTCCAGCGACGTGATCCCTAATCCAGCCCTATACTTGGTGAGTCAACCAGTACGCACTCATCATAGCATCAATTCTCTCACATTCATGCCCGCCACGTCATTCTCTGCCCAGCGGTTCTCCCGGTCATCGCCCACTTCTCTTTCCGCATCAGCCGTATTCGCAACAGGCATGCGATCGTCCGGTTGCTCCTCAGGCGACGTCACCCTCATCTTGCGTACCCTACGCGGCTCGGAGATCGTCGGCGGGGGCGAGAACGACGCTTCCCTGTCGTCGCGCGAAGCTGCATCCACTTCGCGCATACCTCCTTCAAGGCGCGCAGCCACTGCCTTCGCTGTCGATATCACGCGAGCGGCATTGAGAGCATTGGCCGCCGTGGAACCGCGAGAAGACTGAGTTCCCAAAGATTGAGCACCCGAACTCGACGCCTTATGTTGGCCGCGCGATGAGCCGCCTCGTTTGACCTTCTTAGTTCCGTTACTGCTCCCAGCGCGGCGACTGTGCCCTTCGTTTGATCTCGAGGAATCCACACCGTCCTTTCCGGCACCGGCACCCTCAGCCGCATCCACCTTGTCCTTGTCCTGGACGGTCGGCTGCTTTCTCCGACTGCCACCTCCTCTACCTTTGATCCCTGCCAGCAAATGCGTCCTCGGCGTCTTAGCTTTCGTCGCCTGTTGCTGACGATTCACAAACATGCCACTCAGCAGAGCCTCGACGTCTGCGTCTGCGTTTTCGTCCTCCCAAAAGTTGAACGCGTCGGAGGCGGTCCCGTCGTCGTCGCTGACAGAGGGAGCGGTGTTGGCCCCGACCAGGAGCTCTCCAAGACGCTCAGAATACACAGACGTCGTCGTCTCGGGAGAGGAACCCCGCGTGTCTGGCGTAGAGTTACGTGTCCATTGATCTTGACCGCCCATTGCGAAGCCGTCGCCCTCGTACGTATTCGCAAAAGGGTCTTTTAGGCCGCCACGAGATCCTGCTTGCGCGACGGGTGTGGCATACTGCTCGCCGTCGTCGTCGTCGTCCGCACGCTGTAACTGCTCCAGATCTTCATCTTCTGCATCGAACAAGTCCTCCTCCGCCACATCCCAGCGCCCCTGGTGCGTCGATCCACCCTCGACCGCCTTCCCTTTACCCTTCCATCGTCCAGTCGAAGCACCGACGTCGCGTCCATTGCCCAACTCCGCGTCATCGTCGACATCCATGATATCCGACAACAACAACGCGTCACCGGAATCGGGGTCAGGATGCAGGTTCAAGTCCACGCCCTCCTCTTTGTCCATATCGATGGTGAGGCGGCGCGAGGCAGTAGCCGGCTCATCGAGACGCGAAGGCTGTACGGTCAAGTCAGTCGGACATCCTTCAAGCAGATAGAGGTGTGCGTACGCCGCGAGACCCCGAAGCCGATGCAGTGCCTCCCGCTCGGCGCGCAAGCACGGCTGCGCCCGGGAAAGCCCCGTTGGAAGCGGACTCTTGCGACTAAGTACGCACGAATGAGTACGCGAACAGTATTCTGTCAAACCATAAGCTTACGAGCGACCACTTGTCGGCGTCATCAGCGTCCATCAGAGTCATGGGGTGATCCGCGAGTTCCTTCCATGCCGTTGTTAGTGTACGCTCGCAGTAACTGCTCAGATCGCGTTGCAAGCGTACCTCCTTGAACTCTTTGCCAACCTCTAAGCCCGCTTCTCCCACGCTTCCATCGCCCGGGACGCGCGGCGTCACGTCCTTTGGGACGTTGCCCGTCAGCATATCCCTCACGTACTGCATCAGCACGATTTTAGTCTCCTTCGTTGTAGACGCCGCGAACGCGTCCAGAGCGGGTGCTCCTTCCTTGCGTTCCCCAGAAGCGAACAGGCTACGACGGTAATCAGTCTCAGCCAATCGGCTTGTGCGCGGTGACTTACCTGCGCGCCTCCGGCACTCCTTTGTCTGTCTGACCCGCAATCGTCAACTCCATCGCCACACCGAAGCGCACAGCCGACCAGTTGAGGATTGACTGAAAGAAAGCGCCGGCTTCCGGCATGATCCTATTGCGAGCTCAGCAGTCGTATCGACCATGCGAGGGTTCTACCACGTACCATGCACGCGAATTTGGCGGCTTCTCCGGAGGCGATCCCCACAACGCATTGTACCTGTCGCACTGGACGCGGTGAAGAACGTAGCGCTCCTTCTCCACTTCTTCCACTACCTTCCCCGGTGCCTTCCCCCAGCGTTGAGAAGCAAACACGCGCTCTTGTCCGCCGCGTACGTCCGCCAGCCTCTTCAAAAGCGCGGCATTGCCCTCCGCAGCGTCCTCTTTTTCCTTCCACATCTTCTCGAAGTCAGGCATGTAGTATTTCTTGAAGGATTTTTGATAAACGTCGAGCGCCTTTGCCGGCTTTGGAGCCGGCGCGAAAGCATTGATAACGCGGTCGATCCGTCTTTGATCCAGCGACGCCGTCTGACCTTGGGTGACTTTCGCTCTGTGACGCAGGTTTTTCATGTAATTGCGTACGCGCTGGGCCGACATCAGTATGGGCTACAGGAATATGTAGACGTTACTGACTTGCACGAGACCCGCGATGACTGCATCCCTTTTGATCGCCTCATCCAGAGGCAGCGCAGGCATATCTTTGGCGGCGGGTATATCGGTCAGCTTCAAACCCCAGTACTTCATGTCGGGCGTCTCATTGCTAAGGGGATTCTCGTAACCAAAGCAGAGAACCAGGCCGCGCGCGACGGTCAAGTAGACGTCCTCGCGTTCCGCGTTACCCGCCTGAGTCTGGACGACTATCTCCTCGCGGACGTCGTCAAGGTACTGCGCGATGAACGAGCCGCGCTGTCCTTTGATTTTTAGACGTGGATCGAGTGCCATTGAGCCAGCTAGAGCAGATAAGAGCGAGTGCGGGCGGGCGATGATACGATGGTGGTCAGCAGAAAGCGGATGCGAACGGGACCGCTACCTGTCAGGACAGAATTTCCAGGGCGAGAAACTGGCAATAAGCGTCAGCGCACCACAGCCGTCCGACAGGCGGGCCGGAGGACAGAGCATGCCGAAGCGTTCTAGACGCTCCCGATCACAGTACCCGCGGCTTGCCACAGTACACGGAGCGGAGGAACCCGCTCACAGCCGATGGCCTAGCAGAATAGAGCACGCAAAGCAGGTTACATTTGTGGCGCATGGTGTCCTGTAAGTCGTACACGAGAACGAAGTACGTAGAAGCAGACCGAGGACCTCTGAGCTCAGACCCTCTCCACGCTGCGCGGCTCGATCTACGGAAGCAGATATAGGTTAGCATGCGCCTCCACATCACCTCACATCTCGGCGTGAGATACGTACAGGTATGCGTATCGAGGGCCTCCGGTCCGCAACTCTTGCAACGATGTACCGGAGTATATCCTGAACGCACAGCTCTCCGTCACGGCGTATCTAGTAAACCAACCGCGGCGGTCCGAACGCGCGGTACGAGTCAAGAATACCTACATAAGAATTTCAGTATCCCGCTATGTGACGGTGTTTAAGCTGGCGCACCTGCTTCGGTATACACTGCACCTCCGGATAGACAGTAGCCCACGCGTAATGTGCTTCGTGCGCAATGGTGCCGGTTGTGCCGACGCCTGTGCGGGCTAGCGGCGATGACTGAATATGCAACTGAAATTCAATGTCGAGATCCATTGTGCGTACGAGACTGACCTAAAGTGGTGGTAGCTGTGTAGCGCAAAGCGCGTTCTCGCCGGTGTTTATAATGCACGAGGCATCAGCTTCTAAATGATTTCCCGCGCTCGCTGTTTTCTACATTCTTTGTATGGTGATTACAGTTACGAATACAGCCGTATATCCCGTACAGTCACATTCAGCCGCACACAGTGCACTCATATGGCTCAGCACGTCGCAAGCAATCTGTTGAGATCACTAGGGAGTTGCATGCTGACTTCAGCCTCGACGCGTGCGCCTCTGCTATGCAACACCGGCCCACTAGTTCGAGCTTCTTGATCCCTCCACCGGCGTTCGCTCGAGAACTCAACATCTCCCACAACGCATCCAGTGTCTCGTCCACCTCTTTGTCCCGTTCGTTGAAGTATTGCTTCCGGGAGAGCTCGAACTCTGGCAACGGCCATTCCTCTACGCATCTAACAATCAGATGCTCCAGGCTCGGCAGTACAGTCGCGTCGTGGAGCGCCAGAAGGAAGTCGTAGCGACGAACGTACTCGCGGTAACCGTATTCAAGCCGGAGTTGTGTGACTTCCCCGTATTCGCGCAGAGCATCGTGAAGCGCGTGACGATCGGGTGTTGAACCGAATACCTCGCCGAACATACATGGGAATGGATCCCCGCGGACGTTCAGTGCGCGTGGTCGAATAGTCTGCAGGCCGTGCAGCATGCGTGCAACTCCGTAGAGCATCGAGTCCCCCTTCTCCCTAACATCCCACCTAGCCCACTCGTTTGTACGCGTAGTAGCCATCGAGAACCTCAGCGTACAAGCCCCATCGCGCGTAGTGGCTTCAAAGTCTATCGAATCCCTGCTGCGCACGAGTGATAGCACAGCATGTTCTTCGTGTACTGCCTCAGCAGCCCTAAGCGCGGCTGAGGCAACATCGCGCAGAAGGTGGCCGTTGTGTACAGCGGGCGGAGCTTCCATCGCCTGCTCCAATCCCAGCAGAATTGACACAGCTGCAGCCTGCAGCTCACCAGCCGTGAATGGCTCGTCATCCGTTGCCCAAGCGTGAGGGAACCCCGGCGTCTCCAGCACCGATCTGGCCAGAGCTTTGTGCCCGTCCCTCTGCAGTGTCGATAGCGCCGTCCTCAATGCTTGACTCAGACTGGCGGGCGGTGTGGCGTTCACCTGCGCGTCATGGAGTGAATCTCGCAGATCATCATGAACAGCGGCCAGCACGTCGTGTCTGGGAGGCGGTGGCATGTCGCAGAAGACTTGCAAATCCGTGAGATTGGGCGCATGTATACCGTCCAAGAAGACGACGGTTTCCCGAGAGATGACCCCGGCAAAACGCATATCGCGAAGCCGTTCGAGCATGACGCGACCTTCCAAGTCGTCGGCCCAAGGGAACGGCGGAGGTACATGTAGCGTCGCTTCAGAATGCCAGCGGATACTAAGAACGCTCACGCTGCTGTTATGGCTGAGGATTCGACGTAGATCTGCGGCATACACGTTGAAGAACTTGGCGATGTCCAGACTAAGCGAGCTAACCCAGATCGGGCCGGATACGTCCAAGATCTCGAGCGAATCACATACGTGAACGTCCTGCGTGGCGTCCAAAGAAGTTGCCATGGTATCGTTCCCCGTGATGCGTAAGAACTTTAGGTTCTGCGAGGCTGTCATGCGCACGAGCGCCGTCAAGTCTATCTTGCGCGTTTCCCTAGGCTTATCGATCCACAACCATTGCAGGGGCGCAAGCGCGAGGTTCTCGAGGACGGTCGTGATTTGATCGAGCGTATGGAAAAGTAAGCCAAGGTATTGGAGATGCGGCGCTTTCACGATGATCGGACACGCAGACACGTAGATGCGGAGCGATTGCATGTCTAGAGGTCCGTATATGCGCAGAGCCGTGTTCGGCATGCGGCTCGTGTTGGGACGTAGATACAGAACCTCCAAGTGTCGTAGGTCGTTCTTGGCCAGAACAATCCCGAAGTGACGCCACTGAAAGTCCCGCCCAGCATATACAGCGCTAGCACGCTCAAGCTGAGCATCCAACAGTGAACGAGGGATGCCCGATCGATACACCAGGCGTACTTTTGCGTCGCGAGCACGCTCCATTGCGATCAAGAAGCCCGCCTCGTCCCTAGCTTCCGAAACCAGAGGACCCCATACCAATGCTGACAACGACAACGTTGTGTCCCGCCACAAGCGGCACGTATGCATCATGCTTGTGAGAGACGCGATAGACTCAGCGCCACGGCCCCCGCGTTCAAAGAAAGTGTCCAGCGGGAGCTCGCCCGCTGCAGGAACGACGTGCCCCAACACGTACGTGAAGACGTCGAGACTCGCCGCAGGCAACTCATTGTTGGAACCATCATGGTCTTCTGGATTCCATGATCCCGCGGACGCTATCGAAGTGAATCAGTACTCTTTCTCCGCCTGTCAAGGCTATATGTGACAACCTTCGTCGTCTTGAGGATTAGGATCAGCCTCCTCCTCTGCAGCCCATGGCCCATCAGGATGATCGCCAAAGGAGTCAGCGCCGAATCCAACAGCAGGGTAGCTTAGTCGCCTGACTCGCCAGGGTGGCGGGCGGGTAGCTTTCCAACCGAAATCGTACTCATCCTCACGATAGGGCGCAGGTCCACGACCTGTGACAAAGGCCGTCGGTCCCCAGGAGGTGCTCTCGTGCGTTGAAGACTCGGAGTCGGACTCCCAAAACATAGTTCTTCCAATATCGGTGTCAGTCGTACATCGAGCGCATCTGTGGTACAAAGTCTTACCCTCCTTCTATCCCACCATTTGACTCGCTCTCGCTAGCTTCCGCAGACGGCATGAGTTGCTCATCCGCACTGGATGGGTTACTCTCAGCATCAACGTCTTCCACGTCGTCGATGAACCTGCACGGCTGGTGTCAATATCGCTGTATGTCTGCCGCTGGCAGCACAGCACAAACTCATCAGCAAAGTCGCCCGCGTTCTGAGCTTGGAAATCCGCCATCGCAGATGCTTAGGACCTTGTGAGGATGGCAGTTGAGCGCAATCTATGAACGAGCCGAGTGCGACGCCATGGCTCGGAAAGCCTATCGCGACGCCAAACCCCTGAAGCGGTTAACTTGCACGGATGGACGTACAATGTCCAGTCCAAGTAGCCATGCTTTGCCGGTAAAATGGGTTCATATTTGTACAGTCGAAGATCTATCACACTCCATTCCTGCGATAGTGTTCGAACTATATGTGAATAAAAACATGCCAGCCGCCAGGTCCTCGGACAGGAACTGGGCGCGATTAGCAGGGGGACAAGGCACCCGCCCTCATAGATCCGAATGACATGCGCTCCGCCAGCTGGCCCGCAGCAAGGCCCAGAATGCCGGGTTCTCATCCTCCGTCGACGCAGACCGCGAGCCAGACAGTCAAGTCGGTACAGTTGCTTCTGGCATGTTATGATCGTAGTACTGGTCCAAGATGTCCTCGAAATAGCGCCGAGTTCTCAGCGCTTATAACTACGCACGAGAGGTCGCACGCGGCCTGATCCTGAACCTTCACGTCTGTTGCGCTTGGCTGTCCGTCTCCGTCCCACAAACTTCACGGGAGCATATTATGGGGTATGCACGAATGCCGCGGACATTCCAGAATCGGGGAGGGGTAAACCCTTGTTATAAATGGCCCGTGTGCGCGGACGGCGAGCATTATGGCGGCCAATCTCCTCGAACAGGCCCCGCCTGAGTTCGCCCGCGTTTTGGCTGGTCTACCCGTGCCTCCGGCTAACGGCGGCCAACCTAACCAGGACGAGAACTACAGGCTATATGCGGTGCGTTTCTCTCGTACTTCTATTGAATGTCATCTCACCTTTCAGTAGATGGCGAACTTCATCTACGCGGCGGTAGATCAGCGGTCGTCCGAATGGACTGACTACACCAGCGCTTCCAGCCCATACCTGCCCGTTACGCCCTCTTCGCAATCCCTCGCCGGTGACAACGCCCATCTCCCCTCTTTTGTCGTGACGCGCGAGGGTTCTATCCTGGACGAGCGCATCGCCGAAGCCATTCAATCTGTACTCTGGCGCGTCCCCGACGTACGCGCGCGGCCGTCAGATAGCCTACCCGAGATGGGCATCTGGTCATGCCCGCAGTGCGACCTTCCCATTGATCCAGCAGACCTTACTGTGGATCAGAGGGTACTCATTGCGTATCATATGGGCGTCGGCGAAGATTGCGGAGTCGTGGAACACGCTGACGGTCGTGTCCAGCTGGATCCGAAGAATCCTTGGCAGTATCTGCGTAGTGTCGATTGCTTGGGCTGGGACCACTACGCGATGCACTTACGCACAGAGTGTTTGATTCTGTGGTATCCAAGCCCAGTGTCGGCATACAGGGTATGTAAAAACAATCGCTACTCAATACGTCGCAGATGCTGATGAACACCAGTCGGCGCCAGGTGTATGGTGGGACGAGGACCGTTTATCGCGCCGTCAAGTCTACAAAGCCGTACGGCTAGAGAACGAGGCACTCGAGCGTACGGAGAGACATCAACTTCGCATGTGGAAGGCGAAGAAGATGATTAATCTTGCTAAAGGAGGGGTACACGCCGCGCGCTTTCATCTCACGCGCTGGCGGCGTGGGGCCGTCGTAGCTCGCGAGGCGTTGGTGAAGCAGATGTTCGCGGCTGGGCGTAACGTCGTGGATACGGGGCTAGCGCTCGTAGCATTGATGGATAAGGAGAGGGTGGATGCCGAGCGCTTGCGGTGGCAAGCTCAGCGCGAACAGCACAACGATATCAGGCGCGAGTGGGAGGCACGCAAAACAGACTGGTCTCGCATGTACCTAGGTGTTTGAGACGTATGAAATAGTTGTTGCCTGTCCGCTGTTATCCTTCGTTCTTAATGCTAGGCCCTGTTTCGCTGCAAATGGAGTTCGGATACGCCGGCCGATTACTGCCGCGTCCGACGCGTCGACTTGAGATCTCTGTGCGTCCAATTTTCCTCTTGATAACGACGACCATGGCGAATCCTGACGCGGACATGGACGATATTCCTGGTGAGCCAGTATTGGCCAAGGATAGCCCTCATACCTGGGCCAAGGTGGTACGTATTGGCCACTCGATGTCCTTCTGCGCGCGGTAAATGGACGCTCATACCCGGCGTAGACTGATCTCGCGCTCCGGCACATGGCGCGCGTACCTAGGCCACCCACCCATCCCGAGGACGCATCTCTCGAGGATCGCGTCCACTCCTCAGGCGAGACCATGGCGGGCCACATGCAGCAGCTAGTGAACAGCAACGCGCATATTCCGGCCTCTGTGCGTGTGCCCAAGACCTGGATGTTGATCGACATAGATATGAACAGGATCTCTGCTCCCCTCACGCGTCGGCCCTCGGACTTCTATGTCGGCGGATCCCTGGCCTGGACGTGCCCCAAACACGACTGTGTCTACACGATTTTCCTCGAAGACCTGTCTCCCGATCAGCGCAAGTTAGTCAAAGACGCGACTCGCGGCGTCAAGATATGGTTCTTCCAAACCGAAAACGACGTCGCCGCCGCCGTGCCCGAATTTTTCCGCGAGGTCATTGATATCGTAGCCCTGGCCCACTACGAATCCGCGCACTTCGCAGGACTGCTCATACACCACGTCATTCACGGTCAAGACGCACAAGGACGCGTGAGGGCCATGCTCCTTCTCCCTGTCGACGTAGACTGACATGATACAGATCTTGTATCACTGGCAGCTCAACAACATGAGCACGGAGTTCAAGAAGAAGACTGTCCGCGGCTGGGAGGCCAGACGCTACGAGGAGATCTGTCGCGTGAACGTTCAACGGGGTCTTGCGCAGGATGCGCGCAACATGGCCGACAGTTTGATTCGCACTGCTAAAGAAGGTGACAAGAGCGCGCGCGAACGTGCACGCGCTAGAGCGGGCTACCAGATACGCGAAGAGTACCGCGTTCTCCTGGACCTCAAGCGCCCTCAGGGACTCTTCGACGCGCGCGCGTCGCTGTACGAAGGACGCCCGGAAAACAACAGGATCGTGTACGGGCCCATTAGCGCCATGAAACGCGTGCACGCTACGGCCTTTGAAGCCGGTAACCGCACAGAGGAAGCTCTTGCCGAGAGGGATGCGCTACGCGCCACTGCCGACGCGCTCAAGGCCTATTGGAAGGATGGAGAGGGTGCGAAGCGATTGGTGAGAAGGGAGAATACGTATCAGATGTATGTGTGAGCGTGCTCGTTATGTATGCCCAAGGCGCAGCGGTGTGGGAGACTGTGGGCGGGCGTTCGGCTTCGCGTGTTGATGTCGGCGCGGCGGCCCACGCGTTCTCGAACCTTGTAACGCTACCTGTACTGCTACGTCCACTACCACTGCCTTTAGGCCCGTCTTGTCTCACCTGGTGCCAACAACCATATACATGCATTATGAATCCCTACATTGTGAGCGCCGTTCAAAGGTCGAAGCGCCAGGCCCTCGCCCGCTCCGGCGCACGTATCGACGAAGTCGTCGCCTGACCTATTGTTCGTGTTCAGCAATTCCACCGAGACCCTATACGAGCTGGATTGAACTCGCGTATATCGGGCTAGATATTGTCCTCTGCATAGTGGATGCAAGCGGGTCACGATGTGACGTCGGACGCGGCTAACGTCGCGTGCACTGGCAGAGTTTTCTTCTCCGCGACAAGCTTGACGACGACGACCCATATCTATAGGCCCGCCCTGGCTTCTCTACTGCGCTGTCGTCGTCTCGTACAACGCGGCATCTCCGTGAGCTCTCGCGAGATGTCGCAACAGTCGAGCGGTAGGCGAAAGCCACTAGCTATACCCTCTACGAGATGGCGCGCGCCCGCGGGTCAGAGGGGTTATCTGGAGGACCGTCTCTCGAAGCTGGCCGTCACTAGAGATATTTCGACCAGCAACAACGGCCAGAACAGTACTCGCACGGGCGCCGTGCACGTACCGCAAACGAGTCTCGGTATTCTAGAGCGCACGCTGAAGGCGAAAGTACCGGAGCCGCTCGTTCCCCCGCCTCCCGAGCAACGTCACGGAGATGGTCGGTCTGACGATGGCGGTCTGAATGTTGAGAGTACAGCTAAGGCCTCGCCCTCCAAACCTAAAAAGGTAAAGTGCCCCTACTTCGTCATGGAGTAATCGACTGGACGCTGATACCCGTGGCCCTACAGAACCATCCCTTATTGTATTGGATTCCGGAGCGCATGAGCTATCTATGGGCTTTGCTGCGGCTCAACGGACGTCCTGCGGAGGTTCTTTCTGGGGAGGTCATAGGCTGCGCTAACTCGATATGCGCGAGACACGGCGATCCGAAGGCTGTCTTGTATCGCTGTACCTCAGGGTGCATGTCGTGTACGTGGCTATGCAAACCTTGCATGTTAGACAGGCATCGGGAGCGGCCGCTGGACAGGATACAGGTACGGGGTTAATGCTGAACACCCGTCATCGTCTTGATGAGTTTCGCAGGTTTGGTTATACGGCGAATGGATACCGGTTTCCCTTCGGCAGCTTGGCCTCACCGTGCAGTTCGGACATTGGGCAGGAGAGCGTTGCAGCCTGCAGCGCCACGTCAGCGACCGGTTCGTCGTCGTGCATACGAACGGGATACATGAGGTCCGCGTCGCGTTTTGCGGTTGCAGCAGGACGAAGGTGCACCGACGCGATCAATTACTCGCGGCTCGTTGGTACCCGGCTACGACGGAGAAGCCCAAGACCGCGGCCACGCTTGAAGTGCTCGAGCAGTTCGATGCTCACAGCGCTGCCGGTAAAGACAACGCGTACGACTTCTACAATGCGCTGGAGCACCTTACCGACGGCGCCGGAATCTTCCATCTCCCCGTAGGCATACGTCCCCCTTTACTACCATATTCGACTAACGAAAGTTCTAGGATCGCTCCAAAGATTTCCTACGCATGGCTCACGAACATCGACATCTGCTCGCGCTCAAACGAGGTGGTCGCGGGCACGACCCATCCGGCGGCGTGGAGCGCACACAGCACGGCGAGCTGGCCGTGCTATGTCCTGCATGTCCTCACAAAGGGATCAACACCGAAGGCGTCGTGGAGTTCCTGAAACGATTCGCTCCGGAGTTGGCAGAGGATCACGCGTGGGTGCAATATGCACCGCTTCGAGCGATGGTGATGATTGATGCGTATCTTTCAGGACATTCAATGACACGGTTCATCTTGCTATGGACTGCAACTTTCGCGCTAAGAATCGTATGACGCGATCGACGCAGGAGACTAGCCCTTATCTTGGAGACGGCATGGCATACATGGTACCCGAGGCCTCGTATGAAGAGTACACGAAGAACAGCGCGTACGACACCGAGGTATGTCCTGTTCCTGTGTTGTTCGAACCCCTGAGCGCCGGCAGCAGAGACTAATATGTCCTGCAGTTGAGTAGTTGTTCGCGCTTCGGTGCTACGATCTTGGCCAACCTCAAAAACGGGAAAGGCCTGAGAACAACAGGCATCGGCGCCGTTTTCTGTGCGCGTCACGAGTTCTTTTGGCCTAACGCTATCGGTACTTTGATCAAAGGCGAGAGGTATGATGATTAGTGGACTTCTATGAAGGCGACGTTAAACTAACGTCGTCCACAGGTACTGCACGATGGACTACATACTGGCGGCTGCGTTACGGCGCTTGCGCGCTAGCAGTCTGAGGCTCTACTACGATATCGTCTGCCAGTACACGCGGAATCTCAACCTTCGAATGCTGGAAGTCGAGCGGAAGTCGTTCATCTACGCGGGTGCCCAGAAACTATTGCATCAGATCCATGTGACGTTCGGCATCCCCAAATTCCATAATCCCGGCCACCTCGTCATGTGCCAACTATACTTCAACCTGTCGTACATCAAAGGGACTGGAAATACGGACGGCGAGGCTTCCGAACGCGCTTGGGCTGGACTCAATCCGGCCGCTTCCAGCTTGCGAGAAATGGGACCCGGAACGATGCGCGACACGATCGATTTCTTCTGCAGCGCGTGGAACTGGCGAAAATTTGTTAATATGAGTACGTCTTTCTGTTGTACCGAACATGCGACTGCAATCTGATAACAATATAGGTGAATCGCTGTGTCGCAAGATGGACTTGGCGCTGGCCATGGCTCTCGAGCACTGTGAATTGTTCACCGCTCTTCTCGGCGCGGTGCGCAGGGAGAACTCCCAAACGGCTGACGTATGGTTGGGTGAGGGGGAGGAATACGACGCTCGTGATGCGCTGGACGAGTTCGGGCGCCCGATCACGTCTGACGCGGATGTCAAAAATCCGTTTGAATCTCGCACCAAGAGTACGTACTTCGCTCGCGATATCTTCAATTCGTACTCAATCGTGAACTAGAGCAATCGCTGGAGAGGGCGCGTCTCCAGAGTGCTTCTATCGCCGCTGCAACGCAGGCAGCCACCCAGAGCACGGACGCGGACAAAGGTGCCAAGAACAAGACTACGGCACTGACCAACTTCATCGTGCGCGCATTCAAGGTCGAGATACTACAGTAAGTGCATGGCCTATCTAATATCGAGTGCAACATGCTGATCGGTGACTGCAGACGCCGCGCGAGCGTCACGCCAGCCGACGCGCGGACCTACATCCAGAAGCGCGAGCGCATCGAGCAGGTGTCCGATCTCGATCGCCAAGTGCGGCTCTTCAGGAAGGATCAACAGTGGATCATGCCTTCGGTGTACGCCGCCATTCAAGAGCTGGAGGGAGTTGACGCGGCACGCTCGACGATGCGGGAGGACGACGGCGCCGACGGCGACGAGAGTGAACAGCACAACGCCCAGCCGCGATCCCTACTCTATCTACCTTCCGATCTAGATCAGCCGCTGGCGCGCACCATGCTCGACGTTCTCATGGAGGAGCTGAGGCTACGTTACGCGGCGATGGAAGATTGGCTTGATGTTCTCCGGCAGCAATTGCGAGTGCGGGGCACCGTGAGGCAATGGAAGGTTTCCTTCACGACCGGGCAGCGCATGGCTACGCGCACGATCAACAAACAACGCGTCATTCAAGAGAACGTCGACCAGGCCCGTGACATGTATCGCTGGCATCGTGAGCGGTATGCAAAGCTGGCGTCGTTCCTCACCGACGATGAGCGCAAGGAGTTCGTCCCGGCCTTGTGGGAGGACCTGTTCGAGCCGCTCGCGGATGAAGACTGCCGTCCGCTGAACAATAGCCTGTTGATCGCGATCGAGTCGGCGGAGGTGCAATACGTCAAGAAGCTGATAGCCAGCAGGAGGGACGGTGTTGCCACAGGACAGAGCGGGTACACGATACCGTGGATTTGGTATAAGGTGTCCGAGGGGACGGAAATGGAACTGAACGATGGTGCGTCGAGCCGGAACGTAGCCTTGACATAGCGCTAATCAACACGCAGATCTTCGGGTGGAGTTTATGAGATGCCGCGCTCGAGCTATGCGATGGGTGGAGGAGGTATACCAGCTGGCGTACGAGATGGTACGCGTACCGTTCTTTTGCTCGTCGCGCTCGGTCTGGTGGCAGGATAGAGCGGCGATCGTGCGACCGGATTTAGATGCGGTCACACAGGACGGCGTGCGGTCATACGCGAAAGGCCAAGCGTCAATGTTTCGTAGACACGCGCGCGGCTTCGAGGAGAGGTTTGCGGGCCCGCTGAAGAAAGCCGCGGAATTCGCGCGTCTTCACGGATTGGACGGGTTGATTAGGAGTGTCGTACGCGAGACTGTTGTTTCGGAGAAAAACTGAACAATATTGTTATGCATGTACAATTACTAGTAACGCGACGACTACTGCATAGGTGGCGATTACGATACATGCCCGTCTGTCTATTCGGCGTCGGATCCCTCGACGTCAGTCGTTCCCTCGGCATCAGTCCCCTCAGCGTCAGCCTCCTCGTCCTCCTCGTCTACGATACGGCCGGGTAGTTTAGCTACAGACAAAATTAGTGCGAAAACCAACGCAGCAACGGCGGTCACGCACCGGCCTCGGGAAATGCATGGTCGTAAAGAGCGGTGATAGACTCATGGAACTTGCGAACAGAGCGGCGGGAGAGAACGATCGCTGGAAGGCGGCGCGGGATGGCTAGCGCCGAGACTGGGAAGGTGGACCACATCTCGAATCCGACGGAGCCGAACGTGAGGATGTCAAGCACGTCGCTCTGCTTGATCTCAGCTTTGAGGAGGGTGTTGACGTGATCGCGCAAGCGGAACTCGCCCAACGGAGGGCCGCCCGTAAGTTTGAAGATCCTGGGCTCTTTCTCGTCCTGTTCGGGAGTAAGCTGGTGAAACATGCACATGCTGAGAGTTCGAGCTCGTACCTGGTGGAAATAATAGATGATGAGAGGACGATTGGCCGGCGGAGCTGGGATATGACCGGTGATCTCCACACTTGGAGAGCGGGCAGGAGGCGTTGGGCTGGTGAGGTCGAGATGGACAGGTGGCGCGACGACGGGCGCGGCCGCGGCCGCGGGCGCAGGTGCAGGCGCAGGCATGGGGTCAGGGATTACACGCTGTATCAAGGTTCAGCAAATAAAACGCGGAGAGAGGCATGCGGCGACACGTACCGTGCGTTGCTTGATACTGAATTTACCGCCAACAGGCGATTCCAGAGTGATACCTTTCTTTTTGGCGTACGCACGTATGTCGCGGCGGTCGGGAGACATGAGAGGTCTGGAGATGTACTTGAAGCTTTTGCGATCCGAGTGTACGATCACGTAGCGCCTGCCGAGGTGATAATCGTCCTTTTTGTACTGAAGGTAAGGCCCGTAAATTTGGTAACCATTATCGGCGCAGAGGTCGGCCCAGCCGTCGTACTCTTGCTTGGATGCCGGATTTGCGCGGTCTTCGACGTACGAACGGAAGGCTGCCTGGATCTCAGCGTTGGTGGGCATGGTCGGGGGGAGGGGGAAAGAATGATCGTGCGGCGAGCAAGGTCCATGGAATTCGTGCGGCTTCGGCCACTTCCGACGCAGGGGTACACATCCGGCGCCGACGAACAGAAAAGCTTACCGAAAGCTGATCTTAGGGTTGGATAAGCACGAGTGCTCTTTCAGCCTGGATGTAGTGCAGACTCGAGTGCATATACGAGCTGCTGTGTAGCGCCACTGCGCAGGTAGATGTGCCGGCCAACTAGTCCTCCAGTCGTAACAATACAACCTGTACGAGGAGTACGAAGGCGCGCAGTGTGGGGAAGGCGTAGCGCACAGGCACGAGGGAGCCGACTTTGCTTCCGTGCGCGATACGGACGGGACGTAGACGAGTAGACACGGAACGGGCACGATATATTTGGGGACAGGGTGCACGACTAGAATGTAAGGCATGTGCTAAGTATTTGTGATGAATATGGAGATGAGGTAGAAGAGCGCGTTGGTGGTATACGTCAGTGGTCGCTCAGAGCGATGAACGCGTATAACGACACGCCGAGAGATTCGGAACACGCGCGCATGTGACCGCGTGCGTCGGGCCGAGACGGAAAGTAAACAGATCGATTTTCTGCCTTAACTCTTGACCACGACGACCTTGGGCCTCAGGCCTCAGGAACTGCTTCGCCGTCCTTCTTTCCACCAGCACCACCTCCGCATACGCCATTCGACGCAGCGCCTCCTGGACTTACTCGCATTGTCCCGACTTTCGGGCGGCTCACGTTTCATACTGTCAACGCGGCGGGCCGTGCTTCCAGTGAGGAACTACGAGTTGGCGTGGTGAAGCGGGCGTGATTCCATTATTATAGGATGCGTGTATGCAGTTATTAACGAGGTTATGTGCGGCGGGCGGCGGACGGCGTGGTGGCGGGTGCGCGGGTGCGGGTGTCCGGGTGTCGGCGGGCGGGCGGGCGCGGCGGG